TGAATATCTCCTCCCCCAGAATGGAAATAAAATAAAGCTTTTCCTTTGTCTCAGCACAGCTTTGCATAAAACACACTCTAAACAGTCACATGATCAAGAATTGTATTGGGGGGGGTTTGGTTTTATTTAGTCATTTGTTAGTATTTCTGGGGTTGATGATTCTTTCCCATCCTCACCCACAGCAGTACATAGGCACTTCCTGAGGTCTTATTTCTGCACTGTCCATGTACTTGACCATACATTCCTCAAAGTCTCAGCTGAACTCTATTCCCTTCTTTCATCTTATGTTTTTAATGAGAGCCACCATCCTCTCATGTGAGTACAGACATCACTGACACTATGGATGCTACTAACAGCTTCCGGTATGCCAAGAGCGCTCTGCTCACACACCCAAGAGCTTTCTAACCCCAACCCAACTCTACCTGGACAACAGGTAGTGTGGGTTGGTTTGAACCAACCCACACACATGAGCACACACAGACTCTCCTGCAAACTACGCACCTACAGATTTATCACAATAGGGAATCATGGAATACAATCATAGAATGGTTTGGGTTGGAAGGGACCTTAAAGATAATATAGTTCCAATTCCCCTAATATATAGTTGCTCAGAGCCCCATCCAACCAGGCCTTAAACACTTCCAGGGATGGAGCAGCCACAGCTTCTCTGGACGACCTGTGCTTGTGCCTCAGCTCCCTCAGAGTAAAGAATGCTGAGTTGAAATACTAGAGAAGTTTTAAAATCTCTTGTTTTGGTAGAGAAATCACTGTTCCTCAGAAAGCATTTTAGGAAGATAAATCATTATGCTTTCTTACAGCTTCATTGATTTCTGCATTATCTAGAGACAAAATAAAAGGAAGGGGGCATTATTATCTCCTTATTAGATACAGTTAAATACCCTTGCAGACAGGAAGTCTGAGCACAGCAGTAGCTTAGTCCATTATCTTAGCCACCTTCCCCAAATTTTTTATTATTATCTATTTTTATTATTTTAAACCCATTTGAAACCAACCAGATCAATCTCAGCCAACTAACTAGAGAAAAGAATTTACTAAGAATATCAGAGCAATTGCAATTAAGGATTCCAAGTTCTTTCAACAGTTCTTTTCAGGTTCTTTTAGAAGGGTTTTTAAGGTCTTTCCTATCTAACTTATGATTGCTTCAACTCAGTCACAAAAGTCTATCTAAATTGTACAGTTGTGAATGCCCTGAGGAAAACCTTATGAAACATTCCATTGCAAACTACTCTGCCCATCCATTTCCTCTGCTTCTTTTTACTACCAACCCCTCATTATAGCAATAAGCCACAACAGGGTGCACATTAGTCCATTAGCAGATTCTTAGTGCACACCTACAGCCATTCCCCACTCCAGGAAAACACACCAATGCCTATTGATGCAGTCTGCAGTGCAGCTGCTCCCAAGTACAAATAGGTCCTTTGTATACTCTCCCCTCATTTAACTTGTTTTGATTTTTGAAAAAAATAATCTCCTATTCAAAACCTGATGTTTTTAAGGTTTGGGAACTCTAAAAAAACCCTCTTTCTCCAAAATAACCTCTGCCACAGACAAGTGTGGGAAGGGAAAAACTCCAAACCTATGTTGTAATGTTTTCAGGTCTGGAAGATGAAGCATTTTGAAGGCTCCTTTTGCAGCAGGATGCAACACAGTGCAAGCTGAACAAAACTGATTTGAAGTGTAAACTGAAAGCCAGCAAAGTCAAAGCAAAGAGAAAACAAGACCCACATCACACAGGGTTAGAGCTGGATACTGATAAAGATTTGACAGTGTCACTAGAAGCAAAAATAAAACAAGAGGAAATACTATTTTCAACTTGCTGAAGATAAACTAAGAACTTGGGAAGTAATATTGGAAGCACTGGTGGTTCAAATGAAACTGGAATATAAAGGAGAAGCAGCTCTGAAACTGAGGGTCTTGGGTGTAAGAAGCCACCTTTGAAAAAATCCAAGAACAAAACACCTGGAACTTTAAATTTCTTAAACCACAGAAACACTGAGGGGATCTGAAGTTCCTCTAAACCAAGAGTTACCTCACAGTTCTATTTCCAACAAGGGTTCACCCTTTTTGGATCAAAAACAGCCCCTGAAAAGGGGGAACATCTATACGAACTGTTTGTTCCAGCAAGCCAGCAATGAAAATTACAGTTTCAGTAGTGGAAAAGCAGAAATAAAGGAGAGCATTGCCAAAAGGCAAGTGGATTTAGATCCCACAGGGGGAATTAAATCAATACCAAAAGGTTATTCAGCCACTTTAAGGGGGAAAATAGACAAAACCCAGAGAGTCTGAGGCAGTATGGATGGGACAGAAAGCAAAGACAAATTTTCCAAGTATGGCAGGAAGACTAACAGTCCTCTGCCTTCATTTTCAGCCTGGGGAATGATGAAGGACATGGAGACACAAGATGAGAACATGGGCTGAAAGAAGTGACAAGCAAGGAGAAAAAATGTCAGGTGGAGCAAGTAAAGTATTTCTGGAGTGTGAAAGAAATTGATGAGCAGGTTCATGACTCTGCAGGAGTATTAATAAGAATGCTAAAAAATAAAGTCAAATCCATCAAAAGCACAACCAGAGGACAGATTTAACAGCTGTCCCATCTCAAAATGCCCTCTAAGGCCTTCCATGCTATGACAGATTGAGAACTAGAGGAAGCAAATGAAAGAAGGAGAGGTTATGATGTGAATATACCTGAGTTGACACCACATCTTCCTTTTAAGATATCTTCCAAATAAGGAAGACAATAAATCTAGCTCACTTGTTCACTGAAGAGCACAAAGCTGTTAGTTAAGTGAAGGTTAAAAAACCAGTAGAATTAGTAGGGTAAGTGGGTAAGGAACAGATCAATGTGAACATGCAAATGGGTAGTGTTAAAAACACAAGTACTAGCCTGGGTTGGGATTTCTGGGAAAGATGCTCAAGAATCAGGACAGAAGTTATGAACATCAAGTAGTTAACAAAAATAATAATGTACCGGAATTCACAGATAAAACTTTGGTTTTCAGTGGCTCACAGAACAGGGACTCTGTAAAAGCCCATTCCACAGCTGTCAAGATGCTTAATATCATTAAGTACAGTTGGATCACTTCTAACATGCTTTTTTCTGCAAGGGCTGAGGCACAAACTTAGTTTAAGCTTCCTTAGCCTGTTTTTTTATATTTTAAAGAAACAGAATGAGGTAAGGAAGAGTAAAATGGAAAACACATATCTCGATTTTCCAAGACTCACAGAAAACATGGCTATTGCAAAACATTCTACTTCAGTCATTAAAAAGGGGAGAGAGTAGGAGATTCCTCTGAACAGCTCTGCTGGCTGCTGCCAAGTCTGGTAGGATTGATGAATTTAATATCAGAAGTAGCTTTACCTTTTCAGCTCTCAGACTCAGCTGGCAATATCGTTAGGGATGGCAGAACAGCTAAAAAATGACCAAGCCCATGAATAAGGAATTACTTCTGTGCAAAGTATTAACTTAGGTCTAGCAAGCACTTGGATTGAGGCATATCCTAATTAGATAACTCAGGTGTCAGCCTACTTATCACATATATCCTTTAGCTGGGAGTTATAACTTTAATAACGAGCTGAAATGAGTTTGTTACAATTGGAAGTTCACCGACTCAGTTTGAAAGCTCAAGATAAATTCAATCCAACATCCACAGAGTCTGTAGAAAAATACTTCTTCTCACTACCAATCCCCACAAGAATACTGAAAAACCTTCCAGAGGTAACCATGTGGCATACCTCAAACAGATGAGATGACAACCCAGGAAGGGAGTTTTGGAAATGTCTCAGTTCAAGAGCTCACAGATTTCCCCCAAAGCAACAGAGGCAGAGCTGAACACCTCCTTCTCTGCCCCCATCACTATTTCCATGAGAACACCCTTCCAAAATCCTGCTTGTCTCTACCAAAGCAGCCCTAAAAGTGACAAATCAACCAAACTCCTTCATTGTCTTGGCTTCAGTGGCACAGCATTGCTAAGGAAATGAGCAAAAGCAGCTGAAAGAGCTTTCCCACCAGCAGGCCCCAAGTTAGAAGCTTCCACTCTGTATGGGAGCCATGGTCATTTCAAGGTCAAAAGCTACAAAGGCATTTCTCTGCTTTGGCTTACTCATAACCAGGGCAAACAAAAACGTCTCCAAGACAAAAGATGATGAGAAAAAACACTGCAGTAGAAAACTCAAATCAAACCTCAGCAGAACCCCCACATGTATGCTGAGTTGGTACAAGGGAGTATAAAAAGAAAAATAAAAGGTAACTGATTTTAGAAAGTAATTTAGGACTTCGGACTGCAATTCTAGTATTCCTAAATATTTTATTGGAAGACAAGCTATGGGTAATAATATTCTGTTTATCTAAAGTTGTGGCTATAAAAGCAGCATGCTGCAATCTAACTCGTGCTGTCAGAAGCTCTAAGTTGCACTCTTCAGATTCCTACTCTTCCACAGAGAGCATATTGTCATCAGTCATTGCAAAACCCAAAATGGGACATTTGCAGAACCCTTCCCATGAAAGAAGCTAAAAAAAAAAAAGGCAGATCCCTTTTTTCAGTAGAGTATGAAACAATAAATTGGCAGAGTTTTCTTTTTAAAGGAAAATATGTTGCTTGAAAAGCATTGTCTGGAATCAGCTGCAGGTTTTCTGGACAAGGACTATGCACAAGTAGATCTCAACCTACAACTGCTCAACTACCACTGCAGATACAGCAGTAAAACATAGTATTCGCCTTTCACTGCCCAAGCAAGACCTCTAGACATGGCTTGGACATTTTCAAACTGAAAATAAACAGACTCCTTTCTGTATCTCTTCAGAAGAGCTGAGCTATAGGAGCCTGGCTGGGAAAAGAAGATGATCTAAGTTCAGGACTGGATGCTACGGCCACACTGAGCACCACTTCCCCTAACACCAGCAATAAATGGCAGACAGGTTTAGCACAATCTGATTGTGTTCCAGAAATGTAATCTGATGTAATGATCACCCCACTACTCACTCTCTGCACAAGCATCCTCATCTTCCTCTTCATCCTCGACAGCTTCCTCTGCACGCTGCCTTTCAAGGGCTCTGTAAGGAGGTGGCAATTTCATGGGAGGTGGAGCCCCGTATTTTCTCTAATGGATTCAAAGACAAACAGTTACGTGTTTTGCAACCTCCATGCACACACACAAAAATCCTATTGTCTCTTTCACTCTGTGTGTGCAGACACAGCACTTAATTACAATGCTAAATTCTGCAGCAGAGGCTTTTTGTGCAAGAAGCAGAACAAGAAGTGACACTGAACATCAGAAAAAAAAGAAAATAAAATACAATTGTGCATGCACAGCTACTTGTTGACAAAATACTTGGGTTTCCTCATAAACATGGCAGTGTGAACATCAACCAAGGGTTAAAAATAAACATTAAATTAGACCCTGTTTTGTACTAGATTCGATAACAAAACTGTCTGGTGCTGGTAAATCTCAAACTTTTAACTATAAAATAAGAACTCAATCCTCTTAGTTCATTTATGAATATTTAAACATAACAGTTTGTCTATATTTTGGCTTAAATTTAATAAAGATTTTGAATTATAACTTACAATAAAATTCTATTACCTCACATAAATACAGGCAGCTCCTGTAATGGTGCATATAGCGGCGCATGGCAGGAATACAGAGCAGGCTCTGAAGCTAAAAAAGGCACTTGTTCAGCCAAGCAACTGGTTTTATAGCTCCCAGGAACCAGAGTGTGCCTCAGTTTGCAATGTGATTTCACTAAAATGACGTTCAAGTGCATCCCTTGCACCTCCATCCTAAGAGCAGGATGCCATTAGAGCAGCCAGAATGCCTGTAATTGATTTCTTCTACAGCTGGGAAACATGATACCACACCCAAACATCAAACCCAGCCTAACATTTCTTCTCTGTGTACAGTGAAAGCTGAACCTGTGTATGGATTTCAAAACACTTGAGCTTCAGTTTGTACAGAGCAGTGTAACTACCAAGTTGCAATGCAACTCCGCGTGGAAAATTTTGTGAGGTAAGAGATACATCATCTCACCTATTTAAAAAACATAATAGGAAGGTGTTGCAGTGATAAAGAATAACAATAATAACCGAAATTAATTCAACCCAACAGCTGTACAAATGTCTAGGATGAGCACTTGGAAGCACAACAGCTGTTTCCCAAAAGTATACAATGCACTAAATATTCCTCCCACATTTTTCTTGAAGCCAACACAGGTAGAACTGTGCAAACCCCAGAAAATCCAGGAAGCCTGAGAGGACTCACATTCTACTTCATGGAGCAGGTAAAGATGGAAAATCTACAGCTCCACTTTCAGCTGCCTATGACAAATGAGTCACTTTATTATCACTATAATTTAGTAATAACTTACAGTCTAAATGTTGACACCCTTTGGCTTTTTAAGACCTTCAACATTTGTTAGAAAGTCTGTGAAATTACTTGAGATACCTAAGTTTATCCATGGTTTCTTTCTATGGTTCAGAGCGACAAGTTTCTCTCATCCCTGCTGTCCTGCTTGAAATGGCAGATGAGTAAATTCTGCCCAAGTACTCCATTACACCATGTTTTTGACTTAACACAGAGGCAAAAGCACAGTTTACACAGCCAACCAGCAAAATAATGTTGCTATCTGTTTTGTCCAATTGCTTTAAGTGGTTTTATATATACTAAAGTGATCATTTTTAAACAAACAGATCAACAGAGGAAGATAAACCAACGAATCAGAGAAAACCTTCAGTACTGAAAAGATAATTTATCATACAGGAAAAGGCAGATTTTCCAGCTGGTTGTGGCTGCTTTCAAACCAAACGCTTTTGTGGCACTTTGAAGACTGGACTAGAAATATCACTGATTCCCCATAGGGATGTGGACTAATAATCCACTAATAGCAACTCTTTCCAACTCCGAGATGCCCTTCTGTAGCACAGTGCGGCTGCTTTGTGAATCAGTGTTCAAAGCTGAAAAGGAGCTACATATTTATGCACTGAAGCTCTTCTATATTCCACCCACCAGTTTACAGCACCAATAGATGAAAAAGGTTTGCAAAAGATTAGGCTCCCTCTTTAACCTCCCAACGCTACAGAACGCGACACACCAGAGTGCTGGAGATTAAAGGCAGAACGTTGCAGGAGGATGAGAGCTTTGGAGATTAGAAATATAGATAAAAACCACCAAGAAAATGGGATTGTAACTGCTTCATTGGAACTATTACCCACTGGCATGAAAGCATGTCTTCAACACCTTTCTTGGTTTCTTTGAATAACTGAGCCCTGTAGCTTCTGTACCTGAAAGGAGTCTTACAAAAACTTTTGGAGGCAAGAGGCTCCTCTCAGGTACCCAATGAACACCAGAGTACTGAGTAGGATCAAATGAAAAGTTCACCCTATTTGTAGTTGCCATGTTAAACTGCAGTGGGCAAAACTTATTGTCTGCAGTAATTCTGCCTCTATTCTTGCAGCCCTCAAAGTACCTGACCTACACTTCTCATCCAGGGCAATTTCCACAGTGATATGTCTAGGAGTAAGGAATCAATTTTTCCCCTTATTGCAGCCATTAAAACAAATTCACTGTTTTATACCAAACAGACTTTTTTCTCGTTTAAAACTGCTGTGAAGTTATTTGGGAGTCACTCTGCAGCAACTGCATCACCATTAGCTGAGCAGCTACAGATCCCTGGGTCATTTCCTTGTTTTACACAGCTATGGGAAATGCAGGAGACTTAGTGGATTTAATTATCCCATAAAGTGATTTCACTGAATTTCAGCCAGCCTCACATTAAGGATATGATTTGTGTACATGTTGCTATTTCTCTGCTGAACAAAGGGAATCAATTTGCCTCCACATGGAGCAAAACAGGTACTTCAGGCAGATGACAGTGAGGAGCTGTGTTAAGTACAGGGTGTCAGCACCCAGCAGACACCCACAGAACACTTGTCAGAAACCTGCCTTGGATTTGGCAGGAATTTGGCAAAAAATCATGGAATCAAAGATATTTCAACAAAACACTTCAAATTTAATTTCAGACTTCAGAAGAAGCTTATCACAGAGTTAGAACACATGTTATTATACCATTTGATCTAGTAAAACGTGGGTATAGCAATGAATGGAATAAATACCTTATCGCTCTTATGTTCTTTGTCTGCATCCTGATCTTTGCTGACTTTGACTCCTTTAGACTGCATGGGAGAAACCACCTGAAAAACAAGTATATTACACAGATTAGAGAGAGTATTACAGCTGCAAAACAAACATGCAAAATTAGTTCATGACAACACCAAAGCTACACAGTGCACTCTTCATTTTGCCACATGCAGAAGGGCATTGCAGTGCAGTCTTTAAATTACATTCTTTTACTGAATTACATTCTTTTCCTCAATTTACAAACATTCTCTACTTTTTCTGCTGCTCACTGATTGATACCTAGCACCAACTCTTCATTTAATTAAATATTACTCTGAAGTCAACTCCTTGATATAGAGCTTAGTAGAGACTCCTGAAGAGGCAGTTCTTAGTTATTCAGAGACCACTGTCCATACTCACAGACACCTCATAAAACAGCATGTTTAGGGCAAGATCTCCCTAGACTGACTAGGAAAGTAAGGGTTAGAGATGCAGCTGAACACTTGGATCTCTTCTGTGAGAAGGCTGACCCAGCAAGGGAGCCAACTCAGTTACCACCACTGTGATTTTTGTTGTCACTGCTTGAGCAGCTTCCCAGCACAGCCAGTGAGAAGTCTTAATAGATTCTAAAAGACTCTCTGGAGCACTGGAAAAATACAGTTGTGCTGGATTTGTCTACAGTTGTGTTAAAGGTCTCCTCAGGTCTACTAATCCACTGAAATTCCCAATTAACTTCTCAGATTACACCGAAAGTACATAAAAGTTTGGCTTTTCTGTGTGTACTCAAGGCAGGCGGAACTGTAGGCATGTTCTTACTAAGGCTTCCAAGGGTTTTCTTGCCATGGTCTCAAAGATGAGGAGATGCCCAAAATCTCTTGGAAATAAACCTGCTCCCAAAAAGCTACTTCAGGTCCCTTTGGTGATACATTTTACATGGAGCTGCTAGTGTGAATCTGCCTAATTTTAATTACACTTTTGTTTCTCTGGATAACAAGAGCATATTTTTAGATTATGAAATATGGATAAATTAAAATACACAGGGCCAGACTCAATTACACAGGTGGGAGAGCTGAATTAACATCTAGTCAACAGATTTACATCTACTCAGCGTACATCAGAGAAACAAGGATTCAAATCAGGCCAGACAAGTAATCAATCAATCATGTGGTGTATAAGCAGAAACTGACTGAAAGGATCCATCCTTGGATGCAAAAATCTGATGGAACTTGCTGAAAGGAATTCAGCCAAGTTTAAAATAGGATGTATGCTACACAATTGTTAAGTTTTGGAACAAAAATAGACATAAACTTACTTTTGGTATGTTAGCCAAACCCTGAACTACAAACACCACAGGATTTCCCGCGTTCTTGATCGCTTCTACTGCTTCCTCGTGGGTGGCATTTCGGAGGTCCACCCCAGAAACCTAACAAACAGTGTTTATTTTCATTAGGTACAGAGTCATCACAAGAGATCTCACACACTTGCAGAAGATTACTGTATCAGTACCAAAAGCAGTCAAGAGAAAAGTATATTTCCATGATGGAAAAGTGTATTACTTAGTATCTGTAATTAAGAGATGGCCATTATGTTTTCCAAAGCAATTCTTCTAGATAAAAACATAAAGAGTAAGATTGTCACAGAGTGCTGGATAATGTTAGGTGTAACTCTTTCAGATTATACCTGTTTGTAAAACCAAATCTGAACAGCACTATCAGCTTGAGAACCCAGACTGACAAGCAATCATTTGGGGAAAAAAGAGTAAGGCATCAATGCAGAGCCAGAGGTGAGAGCCAGGAATGGCATTCTCCCTACAGCATCTGCTGGAACCAGGAATGCACCCCAAACAGTGGTAAATCAGACTACTCCAAATCCACACACACACAAAATAAAAGCCCATATTGCAGCGTGCAGAGCTGATGTTCTTCTATACATTTTAACACACCCATGAAGTTATGCTATAACTTCTTATAATGGCATTCCCATTTTTATTTCACTGCCCCATTAGACACCAGGACATATCTTTTCTTAAATATAGAGAAGAATGTTAAAAGAGCTCTATAGTCAGAGCTCAAGAAAAAAAAGACACCACCAGAGGTTTCTTTTGGTTTTCAAAACACAATGTTGTCAATACTTCTTGAAGGGGTGGCAGGATTTTGTCTCTCTCCCCTCCCAGAGCTGTTTGAGTCAATCTTTATTCCTTAGACTAAAAAGGTAGGTTTATCTCCATTTACCTCAAGTATTTTATCTCCAGTTTTTAAAGCCCTTGTTCCTCCTGCTGGGCTGTCTTCCAAAACCTGTTTGATAAAGATCCCTTTAAGTTCTTCTCCATTCTTCAGGCGCTTTATGACAGTTTGTCCACCAACAATACTGATTCCAAGAGACACGTGAGGGTCTCTAAAGATCTCAATACTGGAAAAATACATGTGGTAGTTTAACAGCTTCAAACAGGTTTTTTAAAGTATAAATGCAAAGCTTTAAATAAGCTAATAACAATAAAGTAAGTAAGCTTCTCGTCTTTCAAGAAGATTTAACAGAGTAAAGTCAGAAGCCTAAGAATGCTCTCAACAGAGTTGGCTTTCTACTCTGAGCAGATTTCATCCCACAAAAAGAATAGAATTCTGCTGCCAACCCATGCCCACTGGGCAGAGGCTTTTATTTAAGAGAAAGTCAGATCTTCAAGTAAACACTCATCCTCTTTCAGCTTGAGCAAATTGTCTGGGAATGGCAAGCGCTGCAAGTGGCACACTGGACAAATAATAAAGTGTTTGATACAACTTTCTGAACACTGACTTCAGTGTCTCACATGCATATTAATCAGCTTAGGCAGGAACTTTCTGATCATATTTTACTTAGGGCCATAAAACCAACTCACCTAAAAATGTTAACAACACAACGAGGATGTGGCTAAAAAGTTGGCTTGGCAATTTGGAATCCTGCCATGAAGTTCAGCATGGAACCCATGGAAAGGGAGACAGCAGCACTATGTGCATTGTTCACACCTAATAGTTATTAAATGAGCAAGAACTTGTAGGTCATCCACAACGTAAACTGGCCAAGTTTTCCCCAGTCAGCTGTATAAATAGAAGGCATGATTCTGTTGAACATCTGTAAAAAATTCACTGTATCTAAGAAAGCCCAAGGTACACAAGTACCTTAAAGTTACTGGCAGCGGAGGGGAGGAAAAAACCCAACAAGAACTAATAGGTTCTCACAGAAAAAAAGACATAAGGCAAATAGGAAGGAACAATGTAATCATGTGAACATACGTCCGTGGTGGTCCCCAGTGGCTGAAGTTTGGAGTTTCTTCTCCTTCTCCTTCTTCTCTCTCAGGCAATTCACTAATTTGGGGCAGCGGGAAGGGAGGAATAAAAAATGAAAGAGGCATCACCCATGCCAGGTCACAATTCCTTACATACTTTGTAGCTGGCAGCGAGACAGCAACACCACCTCACACTGTCCAGTTTAAACCAAATGTACAGAGTCAACAGACCAGACAGGAATTTTTGTATTTAGGTTTAAATGTACTTAAGGAATGCTCCAGAAATAAACATGATGGGCAGACCAAATTTATAAGCTGCTCTGTGATATACAAATCTGCCCTGCATTTACCCATTCAAAGTGACTATTTAGGCAATTAACATTTACTTTCTGATAAATATGCTGTGATGCTTAGAGCGGGATATAAACATGCCAAAACCAGCCTAGCTGACCAGAAAGAAGATCATGACGCAACTGGGAGAACAGATCCTGTGTGTTCCATTAACTCTACAGAATAATCCCCTCACCTTATTGTTGTGCTGCTTTCCCTCTGGGGAAAGATTACAGATGAATTAGGGAAGTACTGAGGACCAGTACCCACTCACCCAAGACTGGGACACTCGACAAAGATGGTAAATATCTACAACCAGTGCCAGCTCAAGGTTTCTCAGCACCACTGGCAAGACTAAAGTTTCCTGCACAGGTCTGAGAGCCATGGATGAACTGCTCTTCCCACAAGGAAGAACAAAGGAAAGGGAAAGTCAAGAGGATGTCTATGTGTATGTTAGCATTTCACACAGATTTTAATGATGAGTCAGCTAAGCAAAGCAAGAAGACATTAACTGAAAGCCTTCCACAACCTGAAATCTTTCTCCATACCTGCATGATGCCATTCTAGACTGAGCTGAGGTGGTTACTCTCCCAGATTTCAGCCTCTTGGAATACACATAATTCTCTCCTTTTAGGTCTTCCTTTTCAATAGCTTCCAGGTCAACAGCAAGCCCAGGTCCTTTAGAGTCAATCTGAAGCTGTGTCCCTGGAGAAGAAAAGGTATAATATGAACTTTTGCTTCCTCTGCCCATGCACCCACCTGGTATAATCCTTGGAAATAGATCCCTTAGCTCACCAGGTGCCAGATATGTTCAAAGTCAGGTTGGACAGGACTGGAGCATCCTGGTTTAATGGAAGGTGTCCCTGCCCATGACAGAGGGTGACACTGGATGAGTTTTAAGGTCCTTCAAACCCAAACCATTCCGTGATTCTGTGATTGAATGAAATGTGGGTGTTGTGTGATGATCAAGAGGCTTACAGGTACAGAACATTTATTTTTGAAGAAAATTTAAAGCACACTAAAAAATATCTATAAAGTTAGCAACCAAAAGTGTCTAAGACAAATTTCTGACAGAAGTTACAGGCATAAGCTATTTTCCTTATGCACAGAGTGCTACTGAGGACATCAGGTACACAGAACGAGTGGTTTCCATAGGCAGAACAAAGCTGCAGCCACTTTCAGTATCACTTGTGACACAGATCATGAAATCATCGAATGGTTTGACTGGAAAGGGACCTTACAGACCATCCAGTTCCAACCCTCAGCCCTGGGCAGGGACACCTTCAACTAGCCCAAGTTGCTTCAAGCTCCATCCAACCTGGCCTGGAACACTCCCAGGGATGGAGCAGCCACAGCTGCTCTGGGCAACCTGTGCCAGTGCCTCAGCACCCTCTGAGTAAAGTATTCCTTCCTAATATCTCATCTAGCTCATATTTGTGAATATGAAATTCCAGGATAAAGAAAAAACTTCTTACAAACCTAAATCCATCTCATTTTTTGCTTCTGATTGGGTAGTTTCAGTATCAAATATGTCTTTTTGGTAGTCACTGTGTGCTGTGCTTCCAGAAGAGAGTGACCTTACAGTAGCATTTTCTTCACACTTCACAGAGGAGAAAAGAAGTAATTAAAGTTAGAAAGCAATGGTATTAACTTACACAGGGGTACTTGACAGGAACATTAATTTTTACAGGAAACACATTTTCTCAGCTACATTCATATTTATTCAGATAACTATGAAATACTAACTGCTCATTTAAATACTAACTGCTCATTTATGCACTGTATTAAGAAGAGGCATGAAAAATGTGATGTGCAATTGCAATATAAAGCAACTGTATCTTTCTGCTCACCTGTAATTCAGACAAAAATCCTTTACTCCTGCTCATTTGTTGTTTTTAAGTAACAAATGTACAAATTTAATATTGTGCACTCAGGTGTAAAACTGTCAGTAGAAGCTGCGTGTTAGCCTGTTTATGTACATAGTGCATAAGGGGACAAGCAAAACAAAACCTGAAATTCTCTGTGGCTGTGATGTTTAATTCTTTTCCACTTCAGTTTTTCCTATAAAAGCAAACATCTTGGAAGCTATTGTATGGGAGGCTGATGTTACCCTTTTTAGTTTGGCAAGTGAATGAACAAAGACTGAGAAGGAAAAAAAAAACATTCTCAGAATACTTGAGAAAGACATATCAATAAGAGTTTTGCAATTTACCTGAAGCTGTCTCCTCCTACTCCTTTATCCACCAATATCCTTGTTACAATTGCTTCCACCACATCACTTTTTGCTCTCCTGCACTATCATCTGGCTAAAGGAACTGACTTGGATTACAAATAACAAGGAAAAGAGGGAGCTCCTTTCACTGAAACCCCTGGACTATTAAAACCATGAAGTGACATTCTGCTTTTAATGACATGCACCATATTAGCACAGCTTCAAAAAAAAAAAAAAAAGCCTCCAAATCAGGGATGGGAAAGAAGACACCAGGTGAGGGTGTCTGTAAATACACCAACCACATGTCTCATTCCAGCAGTTAAATATGCAGACAGTAAGTAACCAAAAGAACCTTCCAAAATGCACAGAAGTGTAGACTGGCGTCTGTTGGAGGTACCGAGGTAATTAGATTAATGAAATTCTAGTAACTAAAACACTAGAAAAGCTCCTCGCAGAGTTTAGGTCTGAGGTGTGGGTTCCATGGTCAGGGTACAGCACTGAGACCAGCACAGCATTCCTTACCATTTCATCTTCACTGAATGGATACTCCAGGGACTGTTTTGGACTTAAGTCCACTTTGGATCTTGAGCCTTGTCTTTCAGTAGTCTCAAGCTGCTTTGTCCATTGCTCTGTATCAAGGCTCCGGTCTGCAGTTGCCTTCTGTCCATGTGATGCATTGTATTTCAGGAAGTCTGAATCTTCCTCATACTCCTCATCCACCAACATTTCCCGTTCCTCATCCATGGCTTCTGTCCTGGGTTTCAGGAACTCACACATCTCCCAAGACTCCTTCTCATCCTCACTGTCATTTTGAGAAAGCTGAAATGACCTTCCCAAGTCCACACGTGGCTCATCCACAAGTTCTTCTTTAAAAGGTATTTCATCCCTGAAACCCTGCAAAGAATATTAAAGGAACATAGAGAGATTTTACTTCATGCTTCTTGCTAACTCTTAAGACCATATTTTATGTTTTGCCCACATTAAAAGTACATCCTGATTTTTAAAGTTAAAATCTTCTCCCGTTTGCATTTTCTGAAAGAAAATAGACTCTCTGACTTGTGATTTTAACACCAAAAGTAGACAGTGCAATTATTACTTCATTTTAATATAAAGAAATTTCAGTTGCACAGCTCAGATATTGCTGCAACCATTCAAAAAAACCCAGTCTGGACTGAAGTTAGGGAATGAAAATTATTAACTGACACTAAAAAACCTACAGGAAAAATTATATATAAATCCAGTTAAAGTATCTATGTACTTCAGACTTATCTTCTATTGCTTTATGATTGCATAAACATTTCTTACAATGCCACCAGCTAAATAAAAAACAGCCCAAGAGTTTGTTTATGCAACAGTATCAGCAATTAAAAAAATCCAAAACAAAAGTCACACTAGTTTGTCCCTACCTTGAGTATTCCATACAATATTTAACCTGGGGCAGAGGGAAAACGGATGACCCACATACTTTCAAAAAAAAGGATAGAGTTGGCTGTACATCTGTTCATTACCTAATCCCCTTCCTGTTTTAAAGAGAACAGTGCTCACCTTTCTACTGAATTCAAACCACAGAGCAACAAACCAAATACAAACAACAAAACCAAGAGCAAAGGTATTAAAACCCACTCTGAAAGATCTCACTCAACAGCTCTTTTCCTGGGATTTGTCACATGCCTTCCCAACTCCCAATGCCCCCAATGGGGTGATATTCATTGGCTCACAGTGAGTCTGCACAGGCAGCTGGAATTTTATGCCTTGCATGAGTACCACAAGTTTGCCACCCACAGAAAGCTTTTCCCCTCTTCAGGCCACCAAGTCTGTGTGCCCAAACCTCATCTTCAAAGCACTGAACCCCCAAACACTGAAACCAACCAACAGCTTCAGGGCTCCTTGCTCAAAATGTTTTCCTTTCTGCTTCCTGCCTCTTCCCAGACTCCCCAAGGCACTGCACCACTTCTGACCTTTGGTGTCAGAATCCTGTTCTGGTACATTTGTACAAACACAGAAGAAAAACCCTCAGACATTGCCAAAATGTTTGCACAGCTCAAGTGAGAGAGAGGCAGGAGAGAAAACAAAAGAGGCATGAGCAGAAGGAAACAATGCAGTCACACTAGCTGGCACCAAAGCAGAACATCAGCAATCTAGAAATTAGCACATTTTTCATAAGCATTAAACGTTCCTTTAATCTATTTGCCCTGTGTACCTCGATCTCACAAAACACCCAGTCTGAGGAGATTCTAATTCTCTCCATCATTACTTCCTTTGGTTTCACTCCGCTCCCGCAGCATCATTCTCCCAACACATCCGTGAGAGGCACCAACTCCATCGTTACATAAAACAGTTGACTTAGCTCAGAACCACACAGAGTTTGTGTTACTGATCCAGCAGTTCCCTCTGTAGCATCACTGACTGCTGCACTGCAGCAGCAGCCGCTACCACTGGCATAGGGAATACTGCAAACATGGCACTAAACTCTACTGTGGTGTATAAAATCTTCAAGTCCCTTTTTTTTTTGAGTGGAAACTCAGCTCTGTCAGCAGTGTGCGGGTGCATCATGACACACCACTCTTGGCTCTTATATGAGCAGGTAAGATAATAAATAGATGGAAATTTTAGCTCCTACCGATGCTGTCATGCATGAGGTAAAACAAAAGGCAAGCAAATACCTCTGCAGGGGTTTGGTACA